GCTCTGTTTGCGACGCGCCCCGCGGCGGGACAGGTGGACGTCCCCAGGTACTCTGTGGTGGCGCAGCCTTGTCCTTCCAGACCAGGGAAATGTAGGGAAGGGTTGAGAGCCTGGCGTCCTGCGTCTTTCCCTGGTTGGCCGTGTGAGTGAGAAAACGGCTGTGGGAGTATTTTGCACTTGCATCACCGATGGTAATTACAGATTACTGCGTTCTCGACGCTCGGGAATATCTCGGGGATGAAACTTCAAAATCAGGGCGATAAACTGGCGAGCAGGGTCTAAACCCGTGTGCCTCCGGGAGTTGGCTTAAACGAGTGCTTTGACACATGTGGGCATGGGAGACGTTCCGGGAACCTGGGCGAAGGAGATTTCTCTATTTTCTTTGTAACTTTCCTGTAAATATAAAGTTGTTCAAAAATGAAAAACCAGTTCAGAGACGGGAAAACGGAACAAGCCAATCAGTACATTTCGGGGTCGTCAGGAGCCCCACCAGTTTTATGGTAACTTGCTGAGGGTCGTTTTGTTGAAGCACGCGCTTTCTCTGGATGGACGAGATCGGATGTCATGTACGGAGCGTCTTAAATGGGTTCGACTTGCGTTGGAGAATACGTGGTTAAGTGATTGCTGGCGGTGTATTTCAGAAGTCTGAGGGGTGATTGCTACAGGGCTCTCCTGAAGTAATGGTGAGCCTTTAGGGACTCGGAGCAGCTTGACTGTCTTGAGGAAGTAGCCCAAGAAAGGCAACTGACTTGTGTTTATTTTTTGACTTATAGTTTAGATAAGGCAAAATTTCCAAAGCTTACATTTTGGCCTTGCACATACCTTGGAAATATAAAAACACCCTCAAGGTGATCACAAACATAAATCCATATGAGAGAGATTTTTTTTTTCCCTGTTGCTTGACAAAATCAGGATGGGGGTGGGCGAAGAGAAGCTGAAAAACTAGCATTACCGGAGTTGAATGAGCGGGAGCTGTCAGTGTCCTCCAGCAGCTATTAGGCTATTAATAACAGCTTAGCAGGATACCAGAAATCACCCCCAGGTCCCACGGTTCAGTAGCTGTTCTACTCTGGGCATGATGACTCGCGACTACCCCTTGGTGTATTTCTTTTTTTCTTAGAATTGAGATGTGTATAAACAGTCTTCTCCATTTTTAAACAAACTGCTTTGAACAACCCTCTGGTTTGTTTTGTGTTAAAATAGTATACCGCTCCAAGACTTCTTTTCTTTCCAAATGCGCGCTGGAATTCTATGTCTAGACTTGAGTCAAAATATTGGCTTTGAAATCATTTTGACTGAGGATAAATTAAGTTGTTGGATTCTCATCCCTACCCTCTTTTCAGAGATGTTCTTTTTCGGAATCTATATCTGTTTTTAGAGGGCCTGGGTGACTGCCAAACCCTAACCTTTGTTGATTACTTGAAAAGATAATCAGTCTTTCTGCATTCACTTTGAGAATAGGTAGGTCACCTTTAGGCCATTTACATATTTCATTTGTGTGTGGCAAGAGAACTGATCCTTACATTTGCTGGTTAGGATAATAATTCATATAGTTCCAAACATGTAAAATTTTATTGTTTTTCTTTTAAAAAAAAAAACTGCTTTGTTTAGCTAGACTCTATGTTCCATTTTTTCTCCTTATTGACTTATTAAATAGTACCAACTGAACAGTTGAGACTGTTTGCATTTCAAGTTTTTGGAATCAGTAATGTTTGCTTTAATCTCTTACATTAAATCTTCTACAGGACTTCATGTTCATTTCTCTGGATTTTTCCCCCGTCAAACTACAGAGCTAAAATGAAAACAAAACAAAACAAACAAACAAAACCCCAGAAAATCAGTTCTTTCCCAGGAAGGAAAACTAGTAAAGATTTTTGAAACCTATTTCCTCCCCTATTTAAAAAAAAAAAATCTCTTTTTGTAAAGTGGCTTCTTTTATTGTTGTAGATTCTTAAGTGTTTATCTCTAAGATAAAGTTAACTCCCAGGCCAGAAAATGATGCCTCTTTATTGATTTACAGTCCCCTGTGGCCACATTCCATGCTCCATCTGCTGGTAATCAGTAGAATATTCTAACTTTCTCATATACCCCCGAGGATGGACTAAGGTAGTCCTTTTTCTCTCTGTCCCTTCCCCCCTCCCTGTTTTTAGATAGGACTTTTTTAAAGGGCTGGCATCAGAGGAGAAAGGGAAGTGACTTGTAGCAGCTGGACCGGCAGTGTACGCTCTCGGGAAGAGGGCACTGCCCTGGCTGTGTGTGCAGAGAGCAGGCGCTCAGTGTTGCCCGCTGTGTCCTTGCGTGTGCTCACGTTTGTAATAGCCGCGGTTTTCTGGTGTGTTTTGCTGTTCATTTGTTGCCATATAGTCCGTCCAGGTTGCGTGTGTGGGTTAAGGCAGGTTCCTTGGCCACTGACTACCTTAGGTCTCATGAGAGGGACCCGTTGGTCTGCTTTTCAGTGGCTTGTCTTCTGGTCTTTTATTTATTTTATTTATTTTTTTTTGAGAGGATTTTGCTATGGGGCACGTGTGCTCTCCAGAAAGACACAGAGAGGCAGAAAGTGAGAAATCATCCCTGAGGGGATGGCCACACCGCAATCCCTTCTCCTCCATTCTCCTCTCAGGATCTTGGGCACGCACACACACATGCCCGGTGTGAGTTTAAGCCACTGGGTCCAGGACTCGAACTGCAGTCGACTACATAGGAGTCCAACGACACAGCCATTACGCCTATCCATTGGTCTGCTTCTCAGTGGCTTGTCTTCTGGTCTTCATTGGACCTACTAAGGTCGTCAGTGAAACAACAGAGTGTTTTATGAGCATGTCAAGGACTTGGTTGCGTGGTGCTTTGACCGTTAGCTTACTATGCCTTGGCAGTAGAAAAGTTTAATGATATTTTTTTCTTTTTAACAATTTCTCTGAAGCAAACGGCCGGTGTTGGTTCTTCAGAATGAAGCACTTTATCCTCAGCGGCGCTCCTACACGAGCGAGGACGAAGCCTGGAAGTCTTTCCTGGAAAACCCTCTCACTGCAGCCACCAAGGCGATGATGAGCATCAACGGAGATGAGGACAGTGCGGCCGCCCTGGGCCTGCTCTACGACTACTACAAGGTGGGCCGCTTCTGCGGTGGCTGTCAGCAGTTCAGTGCTCGGACGCCGAGCAGCCACGGGCAGACTCCCGGGGCTGATGTGAAAAAGTGAGAAATAGGCAGCCACTCTGGCCCTTTCTGAAGGGGGAAGCGCCCACAAAAGTGATGACAGCTGGTCTAAGCAGGTTTGAACGTTTTACCCAGGGTAGGTTTGGCGCTGTGAAAAGTGGGCGGGGCGGCTTACCTGTGCTCCGACCTTCCTCCCTGCATGGTCAGGCTGCTTTCCTCTCCCCGGAGAGTCTCGATGTGATTATAGGATTCATGAAAACAAAACCGAAGACAAAACCCTGTATGTTCTAGTCAGAGGCGCATTAGTTCTAAAGTCAGGATATATTTTGTTGCCTGTTTCTAGAGATGAGGATTAGTCTCTGTTAAACATAATCTATAACCTGTGGATTGTCATTATCTGTAGGTGACGCGGCGATCTGACTTAATCGTCATTGTTCACCTGATCATTCTGGCTGCCACTGACTGGCAGCTCTGTTCTGTTAGGGTCTTGTTGCCAGCGTGCCTGTCACTTATTCTCTGGTCATAAAACTAGGATGTGTGCAGATAGGATTTCAGCCCTGGTCTGGTTCATGCCAGGGGCTGTCCACCCTGCTTCTGTATGCATTTTTTTTTCAAGAATTACTTTATTTAACTTTATTTATGTATTTATACATACCAGAGAGGGCCAGAGTGAGAGACAGAGAGAAATTGAGAAAGCAAGCTGCCAGGTCTGGAACTCAAACCATGGTTGGCCATGTGGGAGCTCAGCACCCTTAACCACCACGCCACCTGCTGGCCCCCCTCTGTATTCACTTTCATATTGTTCTTTCTGACCAATAGCAGATCTTTGGGGGTGGTTATTCAGTGTTCAGGACATAATTTAAAATAGTAGACTGCAGAGAAGCATGACTCCGCCTTGGCCTTTGTCTTGTCATTGTCATTTGGAACCATTACGTGTAATCCTTGGGTTGTCACCACTGCCTTTGCAAAAACAAACTTCTTAAGATCCCTGGAAGCTTCTTAGATAGTGTCTCCTTCTGGATATAATATATGTATTTTACAGTTTACTTTTGCCATTTTTTTTAATGATTTAATTTAACTTTATTTATTTATTTTTAAATCGACCAGAGAGAGAGAAGGGGGGGAGAGAGAGCAAGCTGCAATGTCCAGGACTCGAAACTTGCTCAGCCATGTGGGAGTCCAGAGCATTTAACCACCATGCCACCTGCCGGCCCCATTTTGTCATCTTTTTTAAAGGATCTCAATCTACAGAAAACTTAATAAGGCAATCAACCCCTGAATACCTTTAACTGGGTTCACCGATTTCTTGCCTTTTACATTCTGGCTCTGTGGTCTTTCTCAAATACAAGAAATCTCATAGGAGAAAAAGCCAAGCAGATAGTTTGATTATCAAAATTGGGGTGGGAGGCCAGCAGGTGGCATGGTGGTTAAAGGCGCTGGATTCTCACGTGGCTGACTGCGGTTTAAATACTGGAATGGGTGGCTTGCTTTCTCGCTTTCCCTTTCTCTCTTTCTCTGTTTCTCTCTCTGGTCAAATGAGAACATAGTAATAATGAATGGAATTAAATAGATAAAATAATTCTTTAAAAATATTGGGGTGGGAAATAGGCAAAATGTTTCATTGTTTTCGAATATGAAGCTGTGTGCCCAACTTGTAGTGTTTGAGAGACTTGGGATTTTTTCTTTCCTCTTTGAATATGAGCAGAGCTTGTAGGATAATTAATGATCCTGGCAGAAACCCTTGCCTGGGAAGCAGTTTCATCAAGTTTCTTTTGAAGTGAAAATTATTATATATCTGTTCTTACAGCTTGTTTTATTAACTCAGTGTAAAAACTCAAGTTCCTAAGATATTAATTACGAAGTTACATGTTTTTACTAGAACTTTTGAGAATGGAAAAAAAACAACTAACTTAGCTCCAGAAAGACTGATGTAATAGCACTGTTCGTTCTTTTACCCTATGGCAAAACCTAAAAAAAAGAAAGAAAGAAAGAAGATAGCTAGCCAAATAAGTTATTGTGTTTTAAATAAATTATACTGAAAGTCTAAAAAAGTCTAAAATTATTGGGTTATTGGAAAAGTCATGACGCATTTTACATGGAAAAATAGAAAAAACAAGTCATGACTTTTCTAGCAATCTAATATTTTGCATCTCAGGAGGACATAGATCCCCATGTCTGACAATTTTATAGTAGTACTTATTTCTCAAGCCTATCCTGATAGGTATAAAATTATTTTCTGGGGCTAGCAAGTGGCGTGGTGGTTAAGGTGCTGGACTCCCACATGGCTTGAATCCTGGACCTGGCAGCTTACTTTCTCACTTTCCCTCTCTCCTTTTCCTTTTTTCTCTGGTGAATGCATGTGCCCTAATAGCAAATTAAAATAATAACAATAACAATAAAGTTTTTAAAAGTTATTTTCTTGTTTTTTAAATTAAAAAAAAATTTTTTTTTGAAAGTTTTTTTCACTATAGGGCACGTGTGCTCGCCAGACAGACAGAGACAGACATAGAGACAGAAAGCGAGAAATCACCCCCCAGGGGGGATGGTCACGCTGCAATCCCTTCTCCTCCATTCTCCTCTCGGGATCTTGGGCACGCACGCACACGCGCCCGGCGTGAGTTTTAAGCCACCGGGTCTGGGACGTAAACTGTGGTCGACTACGTGGGAGTCCAGCGACATAGCCATTACGCTAACTGCTGGTTCCCAAAAAATTTTTAATTTTTTTTAATTGTCAAGGGGTGCATGTGCTTTTCAGAGAGATGGCCCCCACTCCCTCACCTCCCCAGTGGGGCACAGTCATGCTACAATTCTTCCTCCATTCCTCCATCCTGTCAGTATTTTGAGCACCCAGGGTGCGTTTCAAGCTACTGGGGCTGTAACTTGAACCTTGGAATCTAGCTCCCTTAACCATTGTGCCATGGGGCTGGCCAGTTATTCTTTTTTTTTTTTCCTCAATTTTTTTTTTCTTTTACATTTTGCCATAGGGTATATATGCTCATCAGAGAGAGAGAGTGAGGAGGAAAATGAGAAAACGAGAAGTCACCCACCTGGGTGGATGGCCACACTGCATGCCCTTCTCCATTCTCCTGGGATTTGGGGCACGCACATGTGCCCATCATGATTATCAAACCACCAGGCCTGGGACTTGAACTGTGATCGGCCACATAGGAGCTTTAACTGTCTCACCACCTGCTGGCCCCCCAGTTATTTTCTTTTTTAAATGAATTGTTCCCATCCTTTGTAAGCATCAGTCATTGCAAAGTAGCTTTAGTAAAGCTGTAGAAAGTACGTTGTTAATGCCGGAAACAATAACTTAGAACACAGCATCCAAGTCCTACTTTAAATACCGTCTTCAAGCCTCCGAGCACTGAGCACGTCACCTCGGGCGGGTGGATCTCTGCAGTACACCCGCCAGCGTTTGTCTGCTTTTTACCTCTTTTGCAAAGAAAAGCAGAATGGAAAGATACATAAACAGAACACTGAGCTGGCTGTGTCCTCGGGGTGATGAACACGTGAAGCCCGGAGTGTCAGAGTCACTCACTGTGCAGAGGTGGCATTTGGATCTTGGTGGGATGAATTGTCAACACGGCCGCTCCTTTCAACGTGGCGTTTCATCTAAGGCAGGGGCGGCTGAGCAGAGTGGTGAGAAAGCTGGTGGTGCCTGTCGGTGCTTTCAGTGACTGCTTCTGAATCACATGAGTAGATAAATGAGTAAACCCGGGCAGAAGTCTTTCTTCTAAGAGATGAAACCCAGGTTCCAGTGATGAAGCAAATCTGTGACATCCCGAGTTGATTGGGCAATTAACAGACCAGCTGCATTTTACATCCCAGCCTGGCGGACAGCTTGGAAGCCCCTTGGGGGCAGACACCTGGTTCACTATGTGTCTCAGAGCCTGGGGTCGGTAGGCCGTCAGGGTGTTCTGAAAATACAGGGCTGTTTCTTTGGGTTGACCGTGCTCCATGGGGTCAGAACTAAAGTCGTTTCATGTGTGTCATCTCTCAGGTTCCGAGAGAAAGAAGGTCTTCGACAGCCAAGCCAGAGGTGGAGCACCCAGAGCCGGACCACAGCAAAAGGTAGTGTATCAGGCGGTTGCAGCAGAGTGCCCTGGAGGGATGCATGTGTCTGTGAACAGCATGGGAGAGCGTTTAAATGGACGAGCCCTAGTGGAGGAGACACGGAGGTTGGACTCTGGGTGTCAGAACTTTGGTACAGCTTTCCCCGCGCCTCTGGTTTGATTCTGTTGCTCTGAGCAGTTTCCTGTCTCTTTAGGCATAGTTGCTTTTCTAGAAAACAAAAGCATTATTAGTAACTTCGTCCTCCCCCAAAGGGATGTTTTCAGGAGAGTGAGGTCTTGGCTTATTTGTTTTTGGTCCGTTGGAGGGAAGATGTGGCGGTACTGGTGGTAGAGTCAGGTTGGTTGGTCGGTGGTTTGGAGAGGCTTTCGCTATAGGGCACGTGCGCTCGCCAGAAAGACACAGAGAGACAGAGAGACAGAAAGCGAGAAATCACCCCCCAGGGGGATGGCCACGCCGCAATCCCTTCTCCTCCGTTCTCCACTAGGGATCTTGGGCACGCATGCACATGCGCCTGGTGTGAGTTTAAGCCACCGGGTCCGGGACTCAAACCGCGGTGGACTACGTGGGAGTCCAGTGACATAGCCATTATGTCATCTGCTGGTCCCAAGTCTGTTTTAAAAAATTCAGTACCAGTAGCTCCCTGAGTAAAACTTCATGAAGTAAAGTCAGTTTCAACTACTCTTGGACTTATTTTTGACATCTAGACTAAATATCCCTTACCGCAAATGCTCATGACCAGAAGCATTTCAGATTATGGATTTTTGCAGATTTTGAACTGTTTGTGTGTGTGTATGTATGTGTATATATATATATAAAATGAATATCTTGGGGATGCGCACCCAAGCCTAAAGACAGAATTCATTTATGTTTCATTTACGCCTAATATACATAGCCCGAAGGGTTTTTATTACAGTATTTTTTGTATTGCACCATTTTTACTGCAACTTGTTAAATGAGGTCAGGTGTGGAATTTTCCACTAGTGGTGTCATATTGACATTCAAAAGGTTCTCTCTTCTTCAACTTTAAAATTAATTAATTTACCATTTTATTTATTTTTGCTGGGGCATTTTGAAGCAGGCTCAAAATAATCCTTATCATTTTGACCGTATCTTGTTTTTTCACTGTTGTAAGAGCCTTCATGAACAGCTTTTTAGATGGGTTCTTCCTTTTTCTCTTTAGGATAAATCCCTGGGAGTAAATTTATGATTTAAGGTTTGAACACTTTAATTGACCTTGAAATGTGCAAAATTGCCATTTTGCCCTTTAAAGCCTTCAGCCTGTATGATTTCAGTGGGCTTTGAAATTTTACTCATTGTCCAGAATGTGTACGAAAGCAAACTTAATTTTATGCAACGTATCTGCTAGTTCAGTGCAACTGTCGATTTTCCTTGGCGAAAGAGCAAGCCAAAGGCAAAGAGCAGCAGCGTTAGGGAAAGCAGTGGCCGCTTAGGACCAACTCACCTGAGTGCGGAGCCTAGCATCAGGGAGGCCTTGTCGCGTGTCATCTCACTTCCCCGTCAGAGCAAGCTTGTGAGGACCGCTACCACTATCACCCTGCTCCTGGAGATGAGGATTTAGTGACTAAGAGGAAGTAGCTTGTTCGAGGTGACACGGGTCTGACCTGTGCTGCCCGACTCTAGAGCCAGCGCTTGGACAACCCTAGGCCATCAGAGCATGCGTGTGCTGCTTCAGGCTTCCAGTCAGGCATGATCAGTTTTACTAGGATTATTATTTTTAAAATATTATTTTATTTTACTTATTGTTTTTTAAAAGTCTGCTATAGGGCATGTCTGCTCACCAGAGAAAGACAGGGGGAAAGTGAGAAAGCAAGCCACGGGTCTGGGACTCGAACCATGATTAGCCATGTGGGCGTCCTGTGCCGCTGGGGCATTTTGAAGCAGGCTCAAAATAATCCTTATCATTTTGACCGTATCTTGTTTTTTCACTGTTGTAAGAGCCTTCATGAACAGCTTTTTAGATGGGTTCTTCCTTTTTCTCTTTAGGATAAATCCCTGGGAGTAAATTTATGATTTAAGGTTTGAACACTTTAATTGACCTTGAAATGTGCAAAATTGCCATTTTGCCCTTTAAAGCCTTCAGCCTGTATGATTTCAGTGGGCTTTGAAATTTTACTCATTGTCCAGAATGTGTACGAAAGCAAACTTAATTTTATGCAACGTATCTGCTAGTTCAGTGCAACTGTCGATTTTCCTTGGCGAAAGAGCAAGCCAAAGGCAAAGAGCAGCAGCGTTAGGGAAAGCAGTGGCCGCTTAGGACCAACTCACCTGAGTGCGGAGCCTAGCATCAGGGAGGCCTTGTCGCGTGTCATCTCACTTCCCCGTCAGAGCAAGCTTGTGAGGACCGCTACCACTATCACCCTGCTCCTGGAGATGAGGATTTAGTGACTAAGAGGAAGTAGCTTGTTCGAGGTGACACGGGTCTGACCTGTGCTGCCCGACTCTAGAGCCAGCGCTTGGACAACCCTAGGCCATCAGAGCATGCGTGTGCTGCTTCAGGCTTCCAGTCAGGCATGATCAGTTTTACTAGGATTATTATTTTTAAAATATTATTTTATTTTACTTATTGTTTTTTAAAAGTCTGCTATAGGGCATGTCTGCTCACCAGAGAAAGACAGGGGGAAAGTGAGAAAGCAAGCCACGGGTCTGGGACTCGAACCATGATTAGCCATGTGGGCGTCCTGTGCCTTAACCACCATGCCACCTGCTGGCCCTTTTCTAGGATTATTGAAAATAAAGCTTATTTAGCAGAGAGCTCTGCGTCCTCTGTATTTCTAGTGAGATTTCCCTGATACTCTAGAATTGAACTTGACCTATAACTATAAAGTCTTTTTGTCTTTTTCTACAAGTGGGTTATTGTGCCGTTTTCTTTTTGGTTTCTGCCAAGCGTTTTTTTATTGCACAGTATCCAGCAGCCCAGTGCCATTAGGAAAATAAACACTGTCCAAGGACCATGTGCACCTTGAGTTTGAAAACATGGTTTTCTTTTCTTTTCTGCAAGGAACAGCATTCCGGGTGTGACCGAGCAGCCCCTCATTTCCTCTGGGGAAAACAGAGTGCAAGTCCTAAAGAATGTGCCATTTAACATCGTCCTGCCCCACGGCAACCAGCTGGGCGTGGATAAGAGAAGCCACCTCACGGCTCCCGATACCACGGTCACCGTCTCCATAGCAACGATGCCCACCCACTCCATCAAGACTGAGATCCAGCCGCATGGCTTTGCCGTGGGGATCCCCCCTGCAGTGTACCACCCTGAGCCCACGGAGCGGGTGGTGGTCTTTGACCGCAACCTGAGCACTGACCAGTTCAGCTCTGGAGCGCAGCCCCCGAATGCTCAGCGGAGGACTCCCGACTCCACCTTCTCCGAGACCTTTAAGGAAGGCGTGCAGGAGGTACAGGAAACCAAACGTCTTCCTAAGACGGCTGCGTGTTTGCACAAGGATTGGGTTCCACCTTTTCCTTGTTATGTAAGCCTGAAACTCAGTCTGAAATGAATGGATTAGGAATAAAAGGTTTTTTGGGGGGAGAGAAAAGGCCCATGGGTATAATTTGTAAACTAAACCTATAAACCAGAAATTATTATCAAGGGCATGTAGCTAATCTTACCAGCAGCTGAGTTCACAATTATGATTTCAGCTAAGTGATTTGCTGCAGAAAGAGAAAGAGAACCCCGCACATAATCTTCTGTTGGCAGGAGATAAATTCACATAGTCTGCTTTCAGCTTTTGTTCTGGACAGAAACAAGCTCCCTGCTCTGGGCTGATGTAAAATACTGGATGCCGTGTGTCTGCTTGGTGTCGTCTTGGTTGGCGGTACAGTGAGGGCAGGAGGGTGATCATGGGTGCGTTATGTGAAATTCACAGACAAGTCGCACGTGGTTCTGAAGGCTTCGTGATGGACTCCCTCAGCTACATGTTAGGGAGCGGAGCTTCGAAATGAGCCTAAGGCCAGGTGGGCCAAGAGCATCTCTGCTGTGGGAACAGCACATCCATCCGCGAACTTGGTACTGCGCCCTAACTTGGTTCAGCTCAGGGTGACCCCCAGAATTCATGACATTTCAGTTGCAGATTTTACAGTTAGAAACAGAATTGGGAGGTGTAGAAAGATGGGGAGAGGGGCTGACGAATTCACACGCACTTTGTGGGAGCCCCTATGTGGGGTATCTTAATTTCAGTGCTTTTTATGAAATCAGCTATTTTCTTTTCCCTTTTAAAAATTTTTTAAAAAAATGTTGTAGGCTTACATTTTTTATTTGAAAATAAACCTTGAAAGGGTAGCGGCTTGCTGGAAGCCACATATTTTTATGCCGTGCCAGACCTTGCCTGGAGTACCTGTGCTAACCAGTTAAACAGTTTGGCCTGTTACGTTGGTATTTCAGGTTTTCTTCCCCTCGGATCTCAGTCTGCGGATGCCTGGCATGAATTCAGAGGACTATGTTTTTGACAGTGTTTCTGGGTAATAGTTGTCTTTTAATTTGATTTTGAATTTTCAGCTTTGACTTCCCCCTTCGTTAACTGGATACCCATCAATCTGAGGTGGCTTTGGCGGGCGCTTTCCTTTCCTTACTGCGTTCACTGTGGGAGCTTGGGTAGAGGGCACTTGCTTCAGCGCATTTCATTTCGAAGTCTTCTCGTTGTTTCAGGTTTCCTAAATCTCGGTGTTGGTGCTTTCTCTTTCGGTTGGTTTTTTCTTTTTTTTTTTTTTTTGAGATTTTTGCTATAGAGTGTGTGTGCTCACTGGAGAGACAGAAAGCGAGAAATCACCTCCCAGGGAGGATGACCACACTGCCATCCCTTCTCCTCATTTCTCCTCTTGTGATCTTGGGCATGCACGCACACCTGCCCAGTGTGAGTTTATGCTGCCTGCTCTGGGACTTGAACCGTGATGGACTACGTGGGAGTTCAGCAAAGTAACCATTACGCCATCTGCTGGCCCCACCTTTGGTCTCTTTATATGATGGTGATAGGACAGAATCCAAAAGAAGAGAAGTCCCTCTGTTTGCTAGAGGATCATTAGGTGGGAAATTAGGACTAAGCCAAGTGGGTAAAAGGTTTTTTTCTGTTACTTTTTAGCCTTACTGATGATAAAAGCAATGAAGTCAACTCTTTTCTGACCTGACAACTTTTTTTTTTAACTTTTCCAAGTTAATTAGGAATGTATGTAAACATTGTCCTTTTTCTTTTTAAAGTCTAGGTTTTCTTTTATAATTGTATGTGATTTTTGTGTGTGTGTTATGTTTTGCAATGAAAAAGGTTTTTGTCTTCTATTTTTGCTAGAGGGCGTGTGCACTTGCCAGGGAGAGAGAGAGGCGGGGAGGGAGAGGAGAAAGCACCTGGTGGGGAATGACCACCCTGCAATCTTGTGTCCTCTGTCTTCCCCTCTTTCAGAATTTTGGGCACACAGGCACAGGTGCCCAGCTTGTTTCTCCAAGCAGTAGGTCTGGGACTCAGACCATACAGTCAGCTGTGTGGGACCCAGCTCCCTTAACCACCAGGCATGGAGCTGGTCTGGAAGGTTTTTTTTTTCCTTCTTTTTTTTTTTTTTTGTGACTTCCTGAAGTCCAGGGTTTTATCAAGACTTTAATCAAGACTTCCCTTAGAGATATGCTTCAAAGTGCAGGAGCCCCAGACTCAGATGTGTTTATGGTTTAGGCTAGAGGCCAGTAGACTCTTCTGTAAAGGAACAGTGTCTTAGTCCTTACGGACCATGCAGCCTCTGTTGCCGCCCCTCAGCTCTGCAGCCGTAGATGATACACAGACATCCGGCGTGGCTGTATTCTAATAAAGCTTTATTTATAAAACACGACTGCAGTTTGCCAGCTCCCTGCCTAGGAGGGTTATGAAATAACTTGAGCATATGTGCGTGGTGGTGTAAGGAGATAGGAAATGTGGAGAACTGGTGTGCTCACCTGCAGCTAGAGACAACCAAACAGTACAGGGCAGGCCAAATAAGTTTAATCGGGGACAGCCGGTGCCGTTCACAGGCTTTGCTGGATAGATACCAGATGGGTGGCGTGTCTCGTGAGGGCTTCTTTCCAGTCTTTCTCACTTACTGGGGTCTTTCATATCCTCAGCCACCAAACACCTAACTGTGCATGACATCACAGAATTCCTAGTGGGCATTGTCATCCCACATCTGGGAGAGCTGAGAATTTCTGGTTGCTCAGTGCTTTTGTTTAAGATTTTACTAATGGGGACCAGCAGGTGCCATGGTGGTTAAGGCACTGGACACTCCCACATGGCTGACCATGGTTCAAGTCCTGGACCTGGCAGTTTGCTTTCTCACTGTTTCTCTCTCTCTGGTCAAATTAAAATAAATGAATGAATAAATAAAATTACATAAAATAATTCTTTTAAAAAAAGATGTTATTATCATGAAGAAGGTAGCAGGCACTCTGTGCTGTGATGGGGTCAGTTGGGTGTTTGCCGGTGGCCTGTGTCTCCTCCGCCCATCCGCTCTGATGTGGTTCAAGACCGCACTAAAGCATATGGGAGTCTTTCCGGAGAGTGGATTAGAGAGCTCGGACTTTTCTCATCCTTCAGGAACAACTTTGAATATACCCTGGAAGCTTCGAAATCACTTCGGCAGAAGCCAGGAGACAGCACGATGACATACCTGAACAAAGGCCAGTTCTACCCTGTCACCCTGAAGGAGGCAAGCAGCAGCGAAGGAATCCACCACCCCATCAGCAAAGTTCGCGTAAGTTCTGTTCTGGGGAAGCTCCTCGGAGCCTGATGTTTCCAGGTCTGATTGGAGACTGGAAATGGCGGCTCGAAGCCTTCACTGTAAAATCCACCAATAAGCAAGTTTTCCCAAAGATACTCACCCCTGGTGTGTTCATGGCGCATCGTGTTCTCTTTCAGAGCGTGATCATGGTGGTTTTCGGCGAAGACAAAAGCAGGGAAGACCAGCTCAGGCACTGGAAGTACTGGCACTCCCGGCAGCACACGGCCAAACAAAGGTGCATTGACATAGGTCAGTAGCCCACGAGCCCGCTTTCCTTCCCAGAGGTGCACACAGCCAATCTTTAAATCCAGTTATTTTTGGCAGTCCTCAGCTTCCTGCCGGAGCATCTCAGTGTTTCTGCCAGCTCCTGCTCCGTGCCAGTGGCGGCCCGGCCTCCTGGAATGGCCTCCCCGTTTCTTCCTAAGCAGGACGTGTGCCCAGGCCGTGGCTCCCACAGGCCCCGGGGGCCAGAAGCTGTGTAGCCAGCTAGCTTAAGAGTGACCCCACTTTGCAATCTGCAGATACCCATTGAGGAAGCCACAATCCCTTCTCCATTCTCCTCTCAGGATCTTGGGCATGCATGCACACGTGCCTGGTGTGAGTTTTAAGCCACCAGGTCTGGGACTTGAACCACGGTTGACTACATGGGAGTCCAGTGACATAGCCATTATGCCAACTGCTGGTCCCAAGAATTATTTTATTTAACTTTATTTATTTTTAATTTTACCAGAGACGTACAGAGAGAGAGAGCAAGGGAAAGTGAGAAAGCAAGCCGCCAGGTCTGGGACTCGAACCACGGTCAGCCCTGTGGGAGTCCAGCGCCCCTAGCCACCATGCCACCTATCAGCCCTTTATGTTTTGAACTTCTTTTGACCCAACAAAATGCTCATTGAAATTCTCTAGCATGTTCATATGAACCACTGACTGACTTGGAACTGCTCAGTCTCGTGTTGAAACTCAAAATGACCTTTGCTCTTTGCCGTCATTTCATATAGCTGACTACAAAGAAAGCTTCAACACCATCAGTAACATCGAGGAGCTTGCTTATAATGCCATTTCTTTCACCTGGGACATTAACGACGAAGCCAAGGTAGGTAATGCAGTCTGGGGCTCCTGCTGCTGGCTGTTTGAGCAGTGGGAGGAGTTCAGTGACCTGACAGCTGATCGATTTCCAGATGTCCGGATCCTCTGTGTTGACATCCTGAGCACATGGGTCCGGCACGGGGTACAGCGGATGGCACTGTGGTCTGCCCGTACTCCCCGTCTGACCTTGAGCCCCACTCCTCTGTCACTTCGCTTCCTTGGCTCCCGTGGACCACAGAACCAGCCTCATAGGTGAAGGGAGATTAGTGAAACAGTGCCTGGCAAACCGTTGCAATTTCTTTGAGAAATGTCCATAAATACAAAGTTATCATTAGCAGAACTGTTTCCTATTGTCACCTTATACAACTCTGAATTAAAATGTTTGCGTCTTGGGCCAGCTTTGAGTGTGGTGGGTAAGGTGGCTGGATCCCACATAGCTGACCAAGTGGTTCGGGTCCTAGGCCTGGGGGCTTGAAAATCATGCTGGTTGTGTGCTCAGAACCCAAGAGGAAAATGGAGAAGGGACTGTGGCATGGCCATCCCCTCTCGGGGGGACAGGGGGGTGATTTTTTTCTTTCTCTCTTTGCGTGAGGTCTGCTATTTATTTTTCTTTCTGGAATACTTTGAACAGTGGGAGCTCCAGAAGCCCAAAAGTAACATTTGAGTTTTTGGACAGCTGGTAAGCATGAACTGTAGTTTTGTTGCAATATTAGGAATCCTCAGTGCAAAGTGATGACCATCCTGTCCTTTTTTAGCCTCTTTTATTTTTTCTTTTATTTATTCAACAAGGATTTGGGAAATTGATGGACTAAGACATGGGGATGTGCAGAGTCAGGGTCTCATTTTATACTTCCTGGGCTGCCCTCACACCCTGCACGAGCCCTGCGGAGTTCATGTTACAATTGCCCTCTTCCTCTCCATTCTCTTTTTCTTTCTTTCTTTCTTTTGGTAAGAGAAAGATTTTTGCTATAGGGCGTGTGTGCTTGCCAGAGAGACAAAGAGGTAGAAAGCCAGAAATCCCCCCCCCCGGGGGGGTGGCTATGCCACAGTCTCTTCTCCGTTCTCCTCTTGGGATTTTGGCCACGTATGCACACGCACCTGGCGTGAGTTTTAAACCGCCGGTTCCAGGACTCAATCCATGGTCGACTACATGGGAGTCCAGTGACGTAACCATTACGTCATCTGCTGGTCCCATCTTTCTGACCATTGTCATCGTGGCTTTAGGACTTTGGGGCATGGTCACTGGCTGCACCGTCTGAAGGGATGCTTAGCGGACTGTCACTGTGAGGCTTTTCCCACTGCCAGCTCGTTGGGTGCAGACATCAGCAGGCCACTCTGTCGAGTTGGCCCTGATCAGCCAGGGGAGTTCACGGCAGAGGGGCTGCTGGGGTAAAGCAGACGTTCCATCTGATGTCATTGTTGTTCCAGTGAGGTCGAAATGAGACATCCCGCCAGGACTGGGTGTGCTGGCCACCGAGAACGCCCTATAGGAGGACTTGGCCCTGTGCCCTCTGGGTGTTCCTATTCTAAGGCGACCTGGAGAAGTCTTTGCTGGTCGTCAGGGACTGCCACCGGAGATGAGGTGGGGAGCACATGGGTCCCGTTCGCTCCTCCGACTGTCTGTGACCTCGGCCCCGCCCTCAGCTCACTAGCTCAGCTTCTCCCTGGACTGTGGATGCCGTAGGAAATGGAAAGGCTGCGGTGGCCGGCTCCTTCCTAGGCTGGGGTGTTGTCAGGATTAATAAGCACTTGTCAGAGGCCTGGAGATCTTGGCAGAAAAGCCCAGCGTGCGGGCAGGTGCTTTGTTTGTTCGATGTGTCACCCTCGGGTGGGAGTCGTGAGAGACAAGATGACGGCCAGGGATAATGGCCTGTTTCATTCTGAGGCCCACAGCCTGGGGATCACAGAGCAATGTTGTTGGAGGCGCGTCCTAAGTAGCCTTAATAGCGTGGCTAATTGGTGGAGGTGAATGCAGTCTCGTTTCCCCTTCCAGACCCCCACCCGCTCGGTTTTCTGCACACCGGAAGGGGGGAAGGGTGGAAGGGTGCGTCGTTCCTAATGAGGCCACCACCCTTTGAAGGCCGTATCGGGCATCAGCTTCAGCTTCGGTTCCAGCGGGGTTGGGTGCAGTATCGAGGTTTTGGCTTTCCCTGGCCAAGCTGACGTTTTCTGTTTTTGTATTTAAAGTGATGAATGCCTCAGGCAGTTCAAGCGAGCAGATGCCCAGGGAGGGTTCTGTGTAGTTGGTCGTTTGAACTACTCCCTCCTGAAAACACCTACTCCCTTTCCCGCCCTCTTGCTCTTAGCGAGGGTACATTCACTGAGCCTTAATTCCAGCTCCTCCCTCCCAAGCATCAGGGCTTATGGGAGCTACGTTCCCCGCCCTGCCCCCCACGCCAGGTGAGGAAACCCCAACTCTGGCCCCGGGTCAGTGTCAGGTTCTTCCTGCGGCTCCTGCTGCTCACTGTGGAGGTGATCTGGTCTGAGGGTGGAGTGGGTTGAATCATCAGTTCTCGGTTCAGCTTCTCCTTGGGAACAACAGTCCCCGAGCCAGGACTCCTCTTTTACTGTCCCTGGTCACCTTCCATTCGTCAGTCCAAGCATACACCTGCTGTTACCACAGGACTTTAAGACGCCATGGGACTTGTAAAATAAACCATTCGTTTTTAAAGTGGTGGGGGAGACGGAAGCTGCTTTGAAAGTCACGAATGACTGAAGCAGCCCCAGCGGCCGCCAGTCCACTCTGCAGCCCCAGTCCCTCCCTGTGGTTGGCCTCCTATGGGATTAGAGGTGTGTGTTTGGGAAGTCAGGCATCTCCAAAGATGATCTGTAAAGATTGAGCGATCTCTGGGCGGCTAAAAGTCACAGATGTCCACATGTCATCCGGAAACACCTCGATGGATGCCTTCCCTCCGATGCGCACTGACTCCATCTGCGCTGTCATTGTGCGGGGAGGAGCCGCAGTTCCCCTTGAAACATTAAAAGGTGGGGGCCAGCAGGCGGCGTAGTGGTTAAGGAGCCGGACTCCCACACGGCTGACCGCTGTTTGAGTTCCAGACCTGGTGGCTTGAAACTGACGCTGGGCACGCGTGTGCGTGTATGTGTGCATGCGCAAAATTCTGAGAGGAGAATGGAGAAGGATGTGGCGAGGACATCCCCCGGGGGGAGGTTTCTTGCTTTTTGTCTCTCTGGTGCCCTACAGCAAAAATCTCTCAAAAAGAAGATGGAAATGAGGGGCCAGCAGGTGGCACGGTAGTTGAGGAGCTAGACAGTCCCACATGGCTGACCATGGTTCAAGTCCCAGACTTGGTGACTTGCTTTCTCACTTCCTCTCTCTCTCTGGTCAAATTGAAATGAATGAAAAAGTAAAATAAATAATTCTTTAAAAAAAAAAAAAGGAAGATGGAAATGGAGCTCCTGGGAGGTGCTGGAGTTTAGAGCTTATAGGGTAACCCATGAAGGCACAGGGCCCTGGAGAAAAGAGAACTGGGAGAAGAGGAGGTGCACCACTTGGGTGGAGCAGGGGGGGCAGGCTCAGCTGTGGAAGAATCGGCAGTAGGAGCTTCCTCTCCAGGAACGAGGCACGCTGGCCGGCAATACCTGGATGGCCGCTGTGGACAGAGCACCTGCAGGGCCAGGCTCCCGGCACTGCAGTTCAGGCAGAGTGGGAGTGAAACGGGCTTTTATGGGATTTCTGCCACTTGACAAGCTCGCTCTGGGGACATGGGTCATAAACCGGGGCGGGGCCTTCCATCCTGCAGCAGGTTCTGTACTTCCACACCCTGGGAGGCTGCACGTCTCCACCCGGAGCTCAGTTTAATCCGGAGAGCTGACTGCAGCATTGAGCCTTGGTTAACGATGTCAAGTGAGGGCATCCTGAAGCTGGAGATCTAAAATAAATAGAGGGAAACGCAGTTAGGGAGCGAGAGGTTGCATCCTCCAGCGCCTGTCATACTTGAGCCTTGGTTAACGATGTCAAGTGAGGGCCTCCTGAAGCCTGGAGATCTAAAATAAACAGAGGGAAACGCAGTTAGGGAGCGAGAGGTCGCATCCTCCAGCGCCTGTCATACCCGCGAGGTGCTGTGCTGGGGCGTCCACTGTCATGAACGCACCACTGCTGCCCAGTACCGTGAGAAAGCAGGTGGCCCTCGGTCAGGCCCCGTTTGCTGCTTGGTCCTGAGACGAGGCCTTCTGAGCAGGCGAGACTGCAGGCCTTGGAGTGGATAGAAAGTGCTCCCCGACGGGAGGTGGACGGCGTGAGAATCCTTACTAACGCAGCAGCACTGCGGACTCACTAGTAGCAATCCTGTAGTAGAAGGACACTCGCTAAGAACCCCCATGCTTGATGAATGAGTGACGGTGAACTGCAGGAGAGGAAATCATAAACCAACAACAGCCGCCATGGGCCCAGGGAAAATGGGGGGATACAAAACCGAACTCCTAGGCCTTTCCTAGCGGCGAAATCTAAATTCTTACATTGGAAAGTGAGTCACAGTGTAGCATGGTTCACATGTTTCATTTTCAAAATGTCAGCAGTAGAGAGTCACTGTTGGACAGGGCTCAGCTTCTGTGGGGTCAGTAACGTCAGAGGAGGGTGTGACGAGCCTGGTTTCGATGTTCTGTGTCATGTGATCCGTGGAGAAGCGGCAACCCCCAGGGCTGTCACGGCCCCTGGTCGTCTTGCGGGGGCCCTTTCTCTCCTTCAGAAGGAAGCTCTGGGCTCAGTTTGGTGTCAAGGTCCCCGCAGGCAGAGGGAGCCAAGTCTCCTCTTCGGTGGGGTGACCTCAGCTCTGGGCGTGACAGCCGCCCTCAACGCTGCACCGTCCCTTCCCTTCTCAGTGTGGCACCGGCCTCACACCGTTGTCCCCTCGGCTCTGCTCCTTCACCCTTCTTACCTGCAGCGTGGGGCCTTGATCTGTGGAGGGCAGACAGGGCAGAGCTGGGACCAATCTGGACGTCGCCTTCCCCCGAGGGAGAAACCCTTCACATGAGGCGTGCTTTTACTTC